GCTCTCCGCGCGTCGCGCCGCGGATTCCGCCGCGGACGCTCTGTCATCCGCGGCGTCGAGCTTCGCGCTCTGCTCCCGAAGCGCGGCTTCGTGTTCGGCGAGCTGTCTCGCGGAAGCGGAGTTCTTCTCCACGAGCGACTCGACGTCGCGGCGCGCGACCGCCGCGGACTCCGCGAGGGCTTCGTACCGACCGCGTTCGAACTCAGCCTCCGCTTTCGCGACGGCGGTCTCCGCCTTGGCCGCCGCGGCGACGCCTCGGTGCTCGTCCGCGGCGGCGCGAAGGACGTCCGCGTTCGCGCTCGACTCCTCCTTGAGCTTCGCGAGCTCCTGTTGAAGCTCCGCGTTGAGCGCCGCGATCGCGTTCGCGTCGACGCCCATGCCGTTGCCGTCCGTGGGCGTCAACGCCGGACGCTTCGCGAGCGACGCCGCGGCGGCGGCGGCGATGTTCATCGCCGCCGCGTCCGCGTTCGCCGCGCCGCCGACGACGGTGCCGCTCGAGGACGCGTACAGAGCCTTGTACATGTCTCGCTGTCGCACGATGGCGTCCACCATCGTCTGCGTTTTCGACTTTCTCGAGTTTAAATCCTCGATTTGCTTTTGGCCGTCCGCCTGGACTTTTTCAATCGCCCGCTCGTACTCCTCCTTGAGGCGCACTTGCTCCTCCTCTTGATCCGCGGAGAGCTGCCGAATCACCTCGAGCTGCCGGCGGTTCTGCTCTTGAAGCTCGGAGATGTCTCGGAAATCGACCAGCGTGGACGTGATGACCGCGCCGGAGTCGCCGCGCAGCTCGCTCGCGGCGGCGGCGATCGCCGCGGATCCCACCGCGCCGCCGCCGCCGCCGCCCCCCTTGAGCTCCTGCACCTCCGCCAACAGCAGCGACACCTGGCGCGACAGATCCGCGGACTGCGCCTCGAGCCCCTTGACGACCCTCGCGTGGTGCCTCTTCTCCGTCGCGATCGATCGCTGCTCCGTCTCGAGCCGTCTCAGCTCCACCGTGCTCTCCTCCAGACGCACGCGCATCTCCGCGTGCGCGTTGACGGCGCGCTCGTACTCCGCGCGTTGCTCCGCGAGAAGCGGCGCGCGCTGCTCGAGCTCGGCGATCATGCCGTCGATCGTCGCCTGCAAACGCCGTCGCTCCGCGCACTCTTTCCTCCACGCGTCCGCGGCTTCCGCGTACTTGGTGTACAACTCCGTCATGGAGAGGTTCTCGCGTCGAAGCGACGCGGCGGCGGCGTCGGGGTGTTGAATCGAGAGCAGCGCCCCCGCGGCGCGGCCGCTCGCGGCGGCGACGCCCACGTCCGACAGCGTCGGCGTCGCCGCCGGGGCGACCTGAACGACCGCGACCATGCCGCCGATGTTCTCCTGCCCGGGCGACACCACGCCGCCCGGGGGAGGCAGCGCGAGCGCCGCCGTCTGGTACTTTTGTTTGGCCTCCGCCGCCGCCTTCTCCGCCGCGCGCGTCGCCTCCTCCGCGCGTCGCGTCTTCTCCTCCGCGTCCGCCTTCACCTCCGCGAGGTGGTCCCTGAGCGCCGTGAGCACGCCCTCGAGCTCGGTCGTCTTCTCGCCCCGGCCCTCAGCCTGTTTCTTGTACAGCTCGGCGAGGCGTTTGGCGGTCGCGAGCTCCTTGTCGAAGTGCGCTTCGACTTTCGCGTTGGCCTCTCGCGACGCGCGCAGTTCCTCCGCGAGTTTCCCCGCGCGCTGCTCCGCCGCGGCCGCGGTCTCTCTCGCGCTCGCGCTCGCGCGGTGCGCGCCCGCGGCGTCCTTCTTCGCCGCCTCGAGTTCGTTCGCGCGCTCGAGCGCGTCCGCGCTCGACGCCTTGCGCGCGGCGAGAAGCTCCTCCGACTTTTTCCCGAGCTCCGCGCGGAGCCAGTCGTTGTGCTGCTGCATCAGCGTCGCCTCTCGCTCCATCCGCGCCTTGGCGCTCTCGAACGCGGTCGCCCTGTTGTTCGCCTCCCTGAGCTGCGCCTCGCATCGCGCGCGCTCCTCGGACGCGGCGACCACCTTGGCGAGGTACTCCTCCGCCGTCTTGCCCTTCTCCGCGAGCTCGAGGTTCTTTTGCTCCGCGCGTTCGACGAGCTCGCGTCTGGACGCGTTCGCCTCGCGGAGCTCCGCCTGCGATGGGTGGGGCGGGACGACGCGGTGAGCGCGGCGCGACGTCGCGATGGAGGGACGAGGGAACGTCGGCGGCGGCGGAGGGGTGCGGGGGGGGTGGGGGGAGGGGGCGCGGCGCGGGATCGCGTCGGCGTCGTCGTCGCGTCGTCGTTCGTTCGCTCCTCGCGGTAGGGTTGGGGAGCCTGGAGCGCGCGACGATTCGACGCGACGAGCGCGGATCTGAGCGCGCGCGCACCTTGAGCCTCTCCGCGGACGCGGCGTGCTGCACGACGGAGACGTCCAGGGCGTTACTCGTCGCCTTCGCGGCCGCGAGCTCGTCCCTCGCCGCCGCGAGCTGGCCCTTCAGCGCGTCGCGCTCGACGACCGCGGCGGTGTGCTCGGACTCGAGCGCGGCGTATCGCGCGTGCATGTTTTGCTGCACGTGCTCGTGGTCGATGGCGTCCGCGTCCGCCTTGGCTTTCACGCTCGCGAGCTCGGACTCGAGCGAGGCGAGGCGGGCGTCCATGACGGCCGTCATGATCGCCGGACGGGGGGTCGCGCGGCGACGACGTCCGTCCTCGTTCTGAGAGAGGGGCGCTCGATTTCAAACGATTTTGTTGAGCCCGCGCGCGAGCAGAGAGAATTCTCGATCGAGGCTGAACGCCGTCTGGTCGCGGTCTCGATGACCGACCTCCCGTCGCGCGATGCCGGTCACTCTCGCGCGCGCGCGACCTCCGCGTCGTCGCACGGGCACCTCGCGCGGCACGGCGGAGCGACGGCGAACGCCGCCGGCGGGGAGCGGCGACCCGACGGAGGAGCGGCGACCGCGGCGGAGCGGCGCGTCGTCGATCGCGTCGCGGCGCGGAGTCGTCGCGTCGAGTCATCGATCGCCATCATGGTCCTCCTCGAGAACGACGCGTTCCTGACCGGGCTGACGCAGCTGTACGAGCGGAACCGCGCGAGCGGGTCCGTGTGGGTCACGATGAAGCGCTCGATGATGCGGAAACTGCCGAAGCGGAACGCCCCTAACGCGCCCACGCCGGAGGAGGTGATGGACCGCGACGGCGAGGTTTGGGTCACGCTCGTCCGCGCGACGGACGGGAAGAGGAAGATCAGCACGACGGTGACGAAGAACAAGGCGGAGAAGTTCGCGAAGAGCTTGAACACGATACAGCGCGCGTTCATCGAGCTGCAGGAGGACGACGCGAAGAAGAAGAAGAAGGCGAAGGCGGGCGCGGGGGGGAAGAAGCAGAAGGCGTGATGAGATGGACGAGGCGATCGAACGATCGAACGATCGACGACGGGGATTCTTTTTTGTTCACTGTACGAGCGGGCGGCGCGACGCGCGCGCGCGTAGACGTTCTGTTCTGTACGCGCGCGTCGATATTAAGTAACCGTAAGTAAAGAATGAATCAACCCAAACCGTGGGTAAGTCACTCACCCCTCCGCGCGTGACAAACCCACCCGCCCCCGCCCCCCGCCGTCGCCGTCGCCGTCGTCGGTCGTCGCCCCGTAACCTCACACGTGCTTCAACATGAGATCCTGGACGTCCTTGAGGATGTCCCCGACGGTGCCGCGGTCCGGGAGCCCGCCCGCGAGCCCGTAGATGGGCGCCTTGCCGCCGTCCACCTTCCCCTTCCCGAGCGCCCTCGTCTCCTTCACCGCGATCGCGAGGTCGACGCACAGCTGGCGCACGCTCGCGACGTTCGCCGACGTGAGACACATGTGCAACGCCGGCGGCGCCTGCAACACGCTGAGATGCCACCCTTTCTTCACCATGACGTCGTTCACGGTGTAGATGTTTAAGCTCGGGTCGGAGCTGCCCCACGCGACGACCATGGAGACGTCCTCGCCGAGGACCTTCAGGCCGTCGATCTCGGACAGACCCGCGCGGAGCTCGTTCGCGCCCGCGATGACGTCGTCCGCGACGCGTTGGTACCCTTCCCTCCCCATGCGCATCAACGCCGCCCACGTCTGCGCGATGAGCCCGCCGCTGCGGCTCCCCGCCTGCGACGGCGATATGTACAGCCCGCCGGACCAGTCCATGACCGCGGTGTACTGGTACTGACGCAGCGCCGCGGAGTTATACAGCACCACCGAGGACCCCTTCTGCGCGAGGCCGTACTTGTGCGTGTCCACCGACATCGACGTGACGCCGTCCACGCGGAAATCGAACGGCTTGATCGACGACGCGAACGGGAGCACGAACCCGCCGAGGCACGCGTCGACGTGCAGGCAGCACTTCCTGCGCTTCGCGATCGCCGCGAGCGCCTGGATGTCGTCCACGGCGCCGTGCGGGTACCCGGGAGTGGACGCGTATATCAAAATCGTGTTGCCGTTCACCGCGCGTCGCACCGCGTTGATATCCATCCTGAAGTTCTCGTCCACGCCCACGCGCACGAGCTCGATGCCGAAGTAGTCCGCGGCCTTGTACACCGCCGCGTGCGCGCTGATCGCGACGATCATCTCCGGCGCCTTGATCCCCCGGACGTCGCGCGAGTAATCCCGCGTCGCGCGAATCGCGGTGAGGATGCTCTGCGGGTCGTTCCATACGAGCGAACGTGGGGGTGGAGTTGAAAGGCGTCAGGTGGAGTTCAAAGGCATCGAGGACGGGGATTGAAAGCGGGTGGTGGGCGGAGAGATGCGCCGGGCAAAGTCCTTAAGGATCGGCGTTCACCACGCCGACGCGGTCGTATGGGAACCAGCGTATAGAACGCGCCTCGGTCCCGCCGCTCGTCATGAGGCCGCACACGTTCGGGTTCGGTCCGCCGGGCGAGCACCCTAGCATCGTCGCGGTCATGTTGACGACCTCGTTCTCCATGCGCACGACCGCGGGGAACGCGTCGCCGTGCAGCGGGTTCGAATGCGCGAAGGACGAGTACACGGAGGAGAGCATCTTGAAGTGCGCGTCGTCCGCCATGTACACGGCGCCGGACATGAGCGACCCGGTCGGGGTCCACTCCAGGTCTTTTCGCTTCCTCTGCGCCGCCTCGACGAGGACCGCGTCCACGGACATGCCCTTCGCGGGGAGGGAGGTGAGGCGAGGCGGCTCCTTCGCGAGCTTCTTGGACATGTCGGCGTCCATCTCCGCGATCATCTTCCCTCGCTCCGCCGCGATGAGACCTTTAACGATCGGCAGCGCCTTGACGGACTCGAAGAAGAGCCACAGCGCGCCCTTCGTCCGGCACCTCTTGCGGAGGTCGAGGAGGTAGTAGAACGCCTGGATCGCGACCGTCGCGGAGACGCCCGCGCCGATGACGACGTACGACGGTCGCGCGTCGTGCAGACGCTTGTCCAGCGCGATCAGGTGGTCCGCGAGGAGCTTCAGCGCGGGCTCGAGCGCGGACTCCATCCCGGGGGTCATCATCGCGGAGTACGCGGTCGTCATCGCGGAGGAGGACGACATCGTTTCGTCTGACGCGTCGTCTCGTCGCGCGTCGGATGTCGCGTGCGGGTCGCCGGGCGCGTGTGAGGGGAGGCCGCCGCGCCGCGTCGGCGTCGACCGATTCGCGTCGGCGTCGTCGACGACTTGACGACGTGTTCGAGCCACACGCTGCCGCGCGCTGATTCGTCGCGTGACGCGGTCGGCGCCGCGTCGTACGGCCAGACAGTCAGAATCGCGCGCGTACGTACTGTAACAACTTACGTTTTCGTACTACGCTTCGCGCCCGCGAGGCCGAACCGTCGGAGTTATTTTGTCGCCGTGCCGAGTTCGCTGTCACTCTCTCTCGCGCGACGCCCTCGCACGGTGCGTTCCCGGCCTCGCGTCGCGCGTCGCCCGCGAGATCATCTCACCCGACGCCGCGCTCGTTCGACCTCGCGGCGCTCGCGCGCGATACGACGTCGCGCGCGGCCGGAGGCGCCGTTTTCGGGCGGCCTCGACGGCGCCGCGCGATTTTCTCCCGCGGCATCTAACACCCCGCGCTTCTTCGTCCCTCTCTCGACGCAGACGACACCACCGATCATGGCTCGCGTCATCGCTTACGTCGCCCTCGCGCTCGCGCTCTGCGTCCTCGGCGCGGACGCCGCCGCCGTGGACCTCACGTCGAAGACCTTCGACAAGGAGGTCTTCGACTCCGGGAAGTCCGCGTTCGTGAAGTTCTTCGCTCCCTGGTGCGCGCGCGCGCCCCGCCTCTCGCGTCGCGATCGACGGATCGATCGTTCGCGGCGTCGCGTCGCGTCGCGCCCGGCGCGCTTCTCGGCGTGGATTCGCGGCGCGCGCCGAGACCTTCGCGCGTCCGCGGCGCGGTCGTCGTCGCGGCATCGCGTCGACGACGCCGCGTCGCGTCGTCGCGGGCGTCGATCCGGCGTCGCGATCGCGCGCGAAATCTCCGACTCGATCCGTCGAGGCGACGCGACGCGCCTGTTCGCCTCGGGAATCGCGTCGTTCGATCGATCGGATCGAACGATCGAACGATCGAACCCCCCCCCGGAAGACTCGACTTCGCGACTGACCACCTCCCAAAAAACCGCTCTTCGCTCCCCTCCGCCCCCTACAGGTGCGGCCACTGCAAGGCGCTCAAGCCGGCGTGGGACAAGCTCGGGGACGAGCACAAGTCCAGCAAGACCGTCGTCATCGCCGACGTCGACTGCACGAAGGAGCAAGACCTGTGCCAAAAGTACGGCGTGTCCGGATACCCGACGCTGAAGTACTTCACCGGCGCGACCGCCGCCACGGGCGACGCGTACAACGGCGGGCGCGACTTCGACACCCTCAGCGCGTGGGCGAAGGATAACCTCGGCCCGTCCTGCGGCGCGGAGAACATCGACCTCTGCGACGACGACCAGAAGGCGGCCATCAAGGCGAAGATGGCCATGTCCGAGGCGGATCTGGACAAGGAGGTCGAGGGGTTCGAGACGGAGATGAAGACCGCGGAGACGGAGCTCGAGGAGCTGCTCAAATCGCTTCAGGCGCAGTACGAGGCGGGGAAGCAGAAGAAGGACGACGTCACCGCGGACGTGTCCCCGAAGCTCGCGATGCTGCGCTCGGTGAAGCGCGCCAAGGCGGCCGGGAAGACGGAGTTGTAAACTTCCGCCGTTCGATCCGGTCCGAACCCTCTCTCGAGGGAGCGCTCCGGTCGGGGGGGAGGCTGGCGAGGCGGGCCTCTGGAGGGAGGGGAGGACGATCGATTCGACGTCACGTGACGGCCGCGCGCGCGCGAGCCTGATTTGATCGATCGATCACGCATCGCGATCGACAGACGCGTCGGAACGCCCTCCGTCCGTCGCCGGTTTTCCCGCGCGAGAAACGCGACGAAAGAGACGAAACGAAACGAAAGAAACGAAAGCGTCGCGCTTCACTTCACTTCACTTCGCTTCGCTTCGCTTCACTTCACCACGACGTCGACGCGCGCGACTCGAACGATGACCTAGCTAGACTACGCCATACATACTCTCACGCCGCGCTCCCCGCCTTCGCGCGGCCGCGACGGCGTTCCGCCCTCGTCTTCTCCCACCCCGGCTCCCTCCCGAGGAAGTCGTCCCAGCCGCGCCAGTCCCCTCGGCGCTTCCCGTACGTCAGCACCGGGTCGTACGGGATATCCTCCGGCTTGTACCCGGCTCGAACCCAACGCTTGTACTCCGAGGACGTCCGCGGCGCGGTCGTGGAGGGGTCGTAGGGTGCCCCCGCGCCGTCGTCGTCGCCGCCGCGCTGCGCGTCCCGCAGCGTCCGCATGTGCGTCCTGGAGTGGAGTTCAAAGGCGTCAGTTGGCGTTGAAAGGCGTCGAGGGTGGGGATTGAAACCGACGGGTGGGCGGAGAGAAACGCCGGCAAAAGTCCTTAAGGATCGGCGTTCGCCACGCCGACGGGGTCGTATGGGGACCAGTGTATAGAACGCACCTCGCGTCTTCGTACGACTTCATCCTGTCGCTCCGCCGTCGCAACCCGCGCGGCCGCTCGGGGGCGCCGAGGAAATCGTCCCACCCGCGCCACTCGCCTCTCTTGGAGTAGTACTCCGACGGCAGCGCGGGGATGAACCACGGTCTGCGCCCCGCCTCGCACCACTCGCGGAACCTACGCGCGGACGTCAGCGGCGGCGCGACGTCGTTGACTTTTTCGCGCATGTATCGCCGCGCGTCGTCGTACTTGAGCCGTCGCTTCCGCGCGCCGCCGGTGTTCGGGTTCGCCGCGTTCGGGTCGTGCAGCCCCGCGAGCTCGACGATCGACGCGCGGTCGTGTATTCGCAGCGCCCATCGCATGTCGTGCCGTCCGTGCGCGATGAGCTGCTCGTTCGTGGGCATGATGCGCGCGCCGTCGTGCAGCGCGGGAACGTCGTGCGCGCGGGCGAAATCTCGAAACGCCGCGGCGGCGACGGCGACGTCGGTCAACTCCGCCGCGCGGCTGTTTAGGAGGCCTAACCGCCGCGCGACGCGGACGAATCCGCCGTGCCACTTCACGCCCTGCACGAGATCCTCTCTCCCCGCCCCCGTCAGCGTCGCCGCGGTCGGCAACCGCCCGGGGGGTACATCGAGCTCTTCGCCAGCCTCTTCGAGAAATTCGAGCATCTCGCGTCGGAGCGTCGCGAACTGCAGCAAGTGTCTGTTCTCGCTCGTGCGCTTCTGCATCCACCCGAGCCTGCCGGCGACTTCTTTGTACCCGCCGTGCAGCAAGATGGCGTGATGCACGTCGTACCGCCGCGCCTCGAGCACGTCCGCCACGGACGGCATCACCGGCGCGTCCAGCCCGCCGCCGCTCGCCTCCGTCGGCGGCTCAAAGCTCAGCGCGCCGGAGATGTCGTTGTACCAAAAAATCTCCTCACTCTCCTCGTCCATCTCTTCGAACCAAAACGCGTGCGTGAGCTGAAGCAACGCGTCGCGCAGGAAGTCGATGTTCTCCCAGTACCCGTCCGGTTTGCGTTTGAACGTGAACCTGAGGGTCGTTCCATACGAGCGAACGTCGGGGTGGAGTTCAAAGGGGTCAGTTGGAGTTGAAAGGCGTCGAGGGCGGGGATTGTGAGCGAGGGGTGGGCGGAGAGAATCGCCGGGCAAACTCCTTAAGGAACGGCGTTCACCACGCGAACGCGGTCGTATGGGGACCAGTGTATGGGACGAACCCGAGCGTCACCGCGGCGGCGGCCGAGTCCCCCAGCGCCGCCACCCGCGTCGCGAGGTCCTCCCTCCCCGACCGCATCAGCGTCCGTCGCGACGGCATCCCGAGCTCCGTCGCGTTCACTCGCGCGCAGTACGGCAGCAGGTCGCGTCGAAGCGCCCTGATCTCGGACTGCCGGATCCCGAGGTCTAGGAGCCCCTCCGGCGGATCCATCACCAGCGCGGACGTCGATGGGTCCCACCGCGGGAATATCGACGGCACGAGCGGGACGAGGTGCGTCACGGGGAGGGCGTTGATCGCCCCGCCCGCGCCGGCGACGGCGCGCGCGCCCGCGATGCGCAACACGAGAGACATCGGCGGCGGCGCGCCGTCGGCTTCGGCGTCGTCGTCATCGTCGTCGCGCGACCCTTCCTCCGCTTCGCCCGCGTCCTCGTCGTCGTCCTCCTCGTCGCCGTCCCATTCGTCGTCGTCGCCGCCGTCGCCGGACGCCGCGCCTTCGTATATGACCTCCCAGTCGTCGTCGTCGTCGTCGCGCTCGTCCTCGACCGCGGTCGCGGACGGCGAGAAGAAATCGTCGTCGTCGTCGTCGTCGTCGTCCGCGTCGTCGTCGTCGTCGTCGTCGCGCTCGTCGCGCTCGTCGCGCTCGTCGCCCACCTGCGCGATGACCTCGCCGCCGGCCATCCCGAGCGCGTGCTTCACGATGCCTATCTCCTCGCCCGTGTTCGCGTCCAGGACGCGCCAGCTCAGGAAGCTCGCGGCGTCTTCGAGCGAGTCCCCGCGGAACGTCCTCGTCTCCGTCGCCGTCTCCGCATCCGTCTCCGTCTCCGTCGCGGCGGCGGCCGCGGTCGCGACGCCGGCCCACGGCAGCGGCTCCGACGCCTCGAGGAGGGCCTCGCGCTTCGCGGCGACGGCCGCGGCCGCCGCCGCCTCTCTCGCGGCGTCCGCGGCGGCGACTTCCGCCTCGTGCGCGTCAGCGGATCGACTCGACGTCCTCGCGCTGCGGCTCTCGGATTCGTCGCGAATCTCGTCGTTCGCGTCCGCGTCGGCGTCCGCGTCGCGCGCGTTCTCCTCGCGTTCGCCGTCGTCGCCGCTCGCGGACGCCGCGACGGTCCATCGCGTGAGGCGAGGACGAAGACGAAGACGCGCGCGTTCCCGCGCCGCTCCGACGCGGAGACGCGGCGACGCGCTCGCGTCGTTCGCTCGCGAGCGAAGAAGACGACTCGGAGGGGGGACCACGACGCGGGCGGCGCGACGCGCGAACGCCGCCGCGCCGCGCGTCGTCGTCGTCGCCGTGACCGCCGCCGCCGTCGTGTTCGTCATCGCGTCTACGCGTGCGCCTCCGCGGACGTTCGCGTCATGCGGGGAGGGTCGGTTCGTTCGGCGCCGCGCGCGGCTTCCGGGCGCGCGTCGGGGAGTGCGGGGCGCAGCGCGCGCGCGCGCGGTCGGTTCAGTTCGGCGAACGGAGATTCGTTCCGTTCTCGTCACACCGCGCGGCGCCCCGCACGGCGCGCCGTCCATGTCGACGCGAGGCCAGCGCGAGGCGAAGAAAGCGCAGGCGCACGTCCTCGAAGGACGCGTGCGTCGATGGGAGAAGAAGTGCGCCCTCGAACCCGCCCCGAGCTCGCCGTCCGGTCGCGTCGCGTCCGCGTCCCCGGAATCGTCCGTCCTCGCTCGCGCCGATCCCATCCCGTCCCTCCCTCCCCGGAGATGTCGCTGACGCGCTCGCGCCCCTCCTCGAATCGTCATCGTCATCGTCATCGTCATCGTCATCGCGCCAGGTGGGTCCAAGGCTCGGAGAAGAGCAAGTGCGACGTGTACAAGTGGGTCGTCGCGACGGACGCGGAGACGGGCGCGGAGGTGGTCTCGGCGCCGAGCGCGCGCGCGAGGACGTTCGTCCCGACGGAGCCGACGCCGGCGCAGCTCAAGGCGCACCAGGCGGCGATGGCGCCCTCCGCGGCGGTCGCGGGGGGGGGCGTCGCGGCGTCGCCCGCGGCGCCAGCGGCGAAGAAGCGGCGGCGATAGCGGCGCGCGAGGAGGGAGACGGCGCGGCGGGAGGGCGCGCGTAGGTTGTTCGTATTTCTTTCTGTCCTTCTTTTGCCACGACTCAGTCGGGGGGGGCTTCCTCCGGCGCCGCCCCGCGCTCGTTCGCGTTCGCCGCGTTCGCGGCCACGACGAGCGCCGCGTTCGCGTCCGCGATCATGAACCCGAGCGCGAACGCGACGAGGACGTACATCAGCGCGGCGGGGAGCATCGCGAGCGAACTCGCCCGCTCGCCGCGTCCGCGTCCGCGAACGCCTCGCTTATCCCTTCTTCGAGCCTCCTCCGCGCCCGCGCTTCGCTCCGCCTCCGCTGCCGGACGACGACGTCGGAGTCGTAGTCTTCTTCGCGCCGCCGCCTGCGCCCTTCCACCGCTTGTGCTTCTTGTACCCCGTCGTCGCGCGTCGGTCCTCCTGCAGCGGTCGCGGGAGCACCGTCGCTATGGCACTGCCAACGAAGAACAGCGCAACGGCGGTTGGAAAGTTGACCATGTATCGCGCGCGTGCGTCGCCCTTCTCGCGCGCGCGTGTCTCGGGCGAGGCGAGAGAGAGAGACGCGAGCGTCGTGCCTTCGCGTCGGCGCGTCCCGCGGACGGCGGCGGCCTTCCGGGGGAGTCTCGTCGCGTCCGAGCAAACGACGGGAAAGTTGGAACAGAAACCAAACGCTGAGCTGTCACTGCCGAAACAGAAGTGCCCACTCCGCACAGTTCGTCGCGTCCCTGTACCAACCGCGTCCGCGTCAAAACCACTGAAGCCAAAACTAGTGTACTCCATTACAAATACATACGATTTAATTATTGTTGGGGGTTGTGAAGCGGAGAGTAGCGCGGACGCTCACAGCTTCGTAGCCGAGATCACCGCGCTTTGCTCCGCTTTGTACGCGAGCACCGCTTCGGAGTCCCCGTCGTCCACCTTCAAATCAAGCGTGGACTTCATGTACTCGTCGTTAAGGAACGCGTACACAAGCCCCTTCCCCGTCGCCGGATTCGTCGCGACCGGGACGTTGTGGACGTTACAAATCCTGCATAACGCTTTGATGTCGTCGTCGTGCGGGTGCGCGGATAACGGGTCGATGAAGAAGAAAGCGCCGCCGACTTGGTTAAGCGACGCCATACCTCCGATCTCTTGGTCACCGCCCAGGGGGCCGGACGATACCTGTTAGTAGGGTCGTGTCGTTTGCTCGTTACGGTCAAATGGTGTTCGTCACGTGTGCGTTTGAGCGCGGGGTTGAGGGTGAGATGAAACGACGCAGTCCTCCTCAAGGGATGAACGTCGGAACGCGACGGCACGAAACGGAAACATAAAACTTACGGGTAAACATGCACACGCGGGAGGCTCTTCTTACCTTGTGCGTGATAGTCAACCCGAGGTTCGACTCGAGCACGCTCCCGGTGCTGCCGGTGGTGACGATGGACACGGTGGAGAAAAAATCCATGTTGGACGCGACGAAGTGTAACAGAGGTGCTTTCATGTGGTTGTGCGCGACGAGCGCGACGAGCTTCGTTTCCGTCGTCTTCTTCGCGTACTTCCTCTCGGACGCCTCGTTCGTGAGCCGTTGAAGCGTATTTTTCGTGCTCTCGGTAGGGGCGCGTTATCGATAATTCTCGTCCCGGTCAAATGATGCTCATCATCGGTCACTTTTACGCGGAGGATGGGTGAAATGGAATCGTGCGACAGGGTCGAGCGAGAGCGTACTACGCGAAGGCCTACCCGGTCTGAAGCGCGCGATTGAGTTCACCCATATCGAGGAACCCGTCGCCGTTCTCGTCCATCGCGTCGAAAAAGTCGATCATCGCGTCCTTACCGTACGACTTCCTCAAATCTAGCTTCAAATCATGAATGATGTACCGCTCGAACGTCTTTATTTTGATCGAGTTCGCCGGCTGTTCCGCTCCTTTGCCCGTGATTCCCGTGAAGAGAAGTCCATCGGATGTCGTCTTGAGTCGGTTGGTCATCGCGTCCATGATTTGCTTCGCGTTTAACCCGCGTGAGAGAACTTCATTCATGAATAAATCGAAGATCAGGGCGGTTTTCACGAGCTTGTCATCTTCCGCGGACGCACGCGGGATGAACGCGGCGCGGGCGGCGCGTGATGACGACGATCGTCCCGTGACAGTTCCCCTCTGAAACGTCGCGGAATTCGGTCGGCACGGGCGACGGTCCGTAGGGTGCGATGACGCGTCGACGCGACCGCGACGCGAGAGGGGACCGCGGGCAACGCATACCCCGCGCGTGTGTTGGGTTGATACGAGGCTGGACGCCGCGTTCATCGTGCGTGGAGGTGTGCGAGATGGGTGAATCGTGCGCGACCTTTCGCGCACAAATCGTCATCGAGACTGGAGCGCACTCTCAGCTGGCACGCCTGGCTGCGGCTGTCCAGTCATCACTGCCGAAACAGAAGTGCCCACTCCGAGGCGCGCGTCCGGGATGACGCCGCGCACGGGGCGCCGCGGGTCCCAGAGCGACGGCGGCGCGCTGGAGGAGCCGCTGCTGCGCCCGGGGTTCGCGTCCTCGCCGCCGGTGCGTCGCGTCGCGCGTCTCTCGCCGTCGATGGCGCGGCGGCACCTCGAATCTCGTCGAACCGACGACTAAATGAGACTGCTTGCCATACGACCCCGTTCGCGTGGTGCACGCCGTTCCTTAAGGACTTTTAACAATGATGATTCGATCGATCGCGATGACTCCCTCCGTCCGTCACGCGACAGGCGCGAAGACACGATGACGACGACGACGACGACGACGACTCCGAGCGCGGCAGCGAGACCGCCCCCGCGGCGAAGAGACCGAAACCGCCGCCGTCGTTCGCGCGACTCCTCGCGCTCGCGCGCGACGACGCCGGATGGCTCGCGTTGGGCCTCGCGTCGCTTCTCGCGCGTTTGCCCTTCTCGCTCGCGGCGCCGCACTTCATCTCGCGCGCGATCGGCGCGTGCATCGACGCCGACGCGAAGGCACTCCGCGTCGCGTTAGAGCTCTTCGCGATCGCGGGCGGCGTGAACGCGGCGCTGGACTTCTGGAACGTCTTCCTGTTCGCGTTGGCGCAAAACCGCGTCGTCCGAAGGTTGCGCGCGACGCTGTTCGACGTCGTCCTCGCGCAGCCGATCGCCTTCTTCGACGAGAACTCCTCGGGGTCCATCGTCTCTCGCCTCACCTCGGACACGACGGAGATCGCGAGTAACTTGTCGTGGGTGTTCCGAAACGTCACCGAAGCCGTCGTGCGCGTCTTAGGCGCGTTCGTATTCACACTGGTCCCCATACGACCGCGTTCGCGCGGCGCGCGCCGTTCCATGAGGACTTTCTCTCCCGGCGCGCGTTTCTCTCCGCCCAGGGTCCCTCGCTTTCGGTTTCGATCCCGACACACCTCGACGCCTTTCGACTCCGTCTGACGCCTTTCAACTCCACCCCGACGTCGGTCGCTTCGCGCGGACCCTCCCTCGACCCTCAGGCATCGCGACGTACCTCTTGATACAAAACCCTCGGCTCGGCGCGGTCGCGTGCGCGGTGATCCCGGCGACGACGGCGGCGAACCAGCTCTACGGCCGGTGGATGGCGAGAAACGCGTCGGCGACGCAGGACGCGCTCGCGGCCGCGAACGCCACCGCGCTCGAGGCGATCGCGTCCGTGCGGACCGTGCGGTCGTTCGCGTGCGAGGCGTTCGAGTCCCGCCGATACGACGGCGCTTTGGGCGCGTGGTACGAGCTTTGCAACGCGCAAGCGGCGGCGACGGGGATATATTTCAGCGTGATGTACTCGTTCCTCTCGCAGCTGTGCGTCCCGATCGCGCTGTTGGGCTACGGCGGCGCGCTCGTGATGCGATCGGAGATGCGCGCGGACACGCTCATCGCGTTCATGCTGTACCAAGGGCAGCTCCAGGAGTACGTCGGGAACTTGTTGAACGCGTGCACGTCCATGTACAAGAGCAGCGGCGCCGCCGCCGCGGTGTTCGACATCATCGACAAGGGGAAGAACCCTCCGGCGGCGGCGAACGATGCGACCCACGCGAGCGGCGATGAGGACGCGTCGCTCTCCGGCTCGATACCGAGGTTCCAGGGGAGGGTGGAATTCGACTCCGTGACGTTCGCTTACCCCGCGCGGCCGACGAAGGTGGTCTTGAACGGATTTCGACTCGTCGCGCGCCCGGGGGCGCGCGTCGCGCTCGTCGGCGCTTCCGGCGCGGGGAAGTCCACCGTCTTCCACCTCTTGCAGCGGTTCTACGACCCCGACGACGGGAGGGTGTTACTCGACGGCGTGGACGTGCGGACGTTGAACCACGGGTGGTTACATAAAGTCGTCGCGCTCGTCGGACAAGAGCCGGTGTTATTCGCCGGCAGCGTCCTGGACAACATCACGTACTCCAGACGCGCGGGGGAGTGGAATACGTTGCATGATGCAAAAAGAGAGAAAGAGAAGAGGCGTCGGAGGGCGAGGCGGCGTGGGTACGCGGAAGTCGACGACGAGGAGCGCAATAATGGGGGACGCGGGGATTCAAACGACGACGACGACGACGACGACGACGAGGAAAAACAAATGGAACGCGTCGTCGACGCCGACGTCGTCGCCGCCGCGACCGCCGGCAACGCCGCGGAGTTCATCGACCAGCTCCCGCGCGGCTACCACACGCGCTGCGGTGAGCGCGGCGTCGCGCTGTCCGGCGGCCAGAAGCAGCGCATCGCGATCGCGCGGGCGATTCTGATGAACCCGTCCGTCCTGTTGCTCGACGAAGCCACGAGCGCGTTGGACCGCGCGAGCGAACGCGGCGTCCTGCGCGCGATGGACGCCGCGAGCGCTGGGAGAACGACGCTAATCATCGCACATCGCACGAGCACGGTGATGGACGCGGATGCCATCTGCGTCCTGCGGGGGGGCGTCGTCGTCGAGGAAGGGACGCACGCGGCGTTGATGTCGAGACGCGGGACGCCGCCGGCGGGGTCGTACGCGGATCTTTCCTCGAGCCGCGGCGGCGGCGACGACGACGCGACGCCGCCGTGACGGCACGGCGTGCGCGCGTTTCGTTCGTTCCGTTCGTTTCTTCTCTAGTAGCTCTCACTTACTCTATTGACCTAGTATCATAGCTAGTCGTGTTCTAGCCCTACGAAGGTGCTATCAAAAATCCGCCGGCGGCAGCGCGCCGCGGCACGTCGGACACTCCATCTTCACCTCCATCCAGCGCGTCAGACACGGCTCGTGGAAAAAATGGTTACACGGCGTCACGACGCGTTGGTTCCGATCCGCGCACTCCACGGTCGCCATGCATATGACGCAATCCACGCCGCCGGCGTCGCCCTTCTCCGCGTCCCCCCCGCCGACGCTCGCGAGGACGTCCTCGGAGACGTCCCGGTGGTAGTCGTACACGGGCGGGAACCAGCTCTCCGGGAAGACGCACCTCGGTCCTCTGACGTGTTGCGCGTACAACGCGAAGACTTGCGCGCCGACCCACGACACGAGCACGAGACAGACCCAGTACTGCGGCTCGATGCGTATGAAATTCGTCGGGCACCCGAACACGTACAGCGGGAGGAGCAGACGTATGACGGACGTCCCCACGACGTATCCCGCGTGCATCGGTTTCTTATTGTTGTTCCACGCGTTCCACAAGATTTGCGGCACCCAATAGCTGTTGGCGACGACGGCGACGATCCACGGCCGTTTCTGGCACCAATACATGATGAAGAAACCAGCCAAGAACCCGGCGTAGAACCGCGTGTACAGCATGCTCAGATCGCGTCGCATCTCGAGCCAGTTTTGCTCCGCCCCCGGCCGCCGAGACTTCCAAATCTGCAGCAGCGTCCGCATCTCGAAGACGCTGAAGAGGACAAACTGCAGAAACGCCGCGGCGCCGAACGAGTGAAACAACGCGTCCACGACGATGCCCGCGGTGAGATGCATCAAGCACTGGTACGAGTCCAACACGGCTTGCATCCCCACGCACAGCAGCGACAGTTTCGCGTACCCGGTGTTCGTGTCGGAGTGCTCGCCTTGTCTCGTGAGGAGGTAAATTTGCAGCGGCGCGGCGACGGCCATCATCAACGCGTACGTCGTCGCCTTCCTGTAGTAAGACCCGAGCTTGAACCATCGCGCGTCGATCGCGAGCTCGACGCCGCACGACTCCGATCGCAAAATCCCGGTCATCTCCGGGTCGCCTCGCCCGCCCTCCCCCGGGGCGCTGTGCGTTTTCTTATCGTACGACGGCGGCGGCGTGTTCTTAGGGCCATTCCATACAAAGCGATGTCGGGGTGGAGTTCAAAGGCGTCAGGTGGAGTTGAAAGGCGCCGAGGGCGGGGATTGAAAGCAAGGGATGAGCGGAGAGATGCGCCGGGAAAAGTCCTTAAGGAATGGCGTTCACCACGCGGACGCGGTGGTATGGGGACCAGTGTATAGAACGCACCTTATCCGCCGACGACCGCCGCCGCCGCCGCCGCGACTTGACGCGTCGCGCGCGTTCGCCGTCGACGCCGACGCCCTCGACGCCGTTCGCGGGCTGATCCTCCTCGTCAAACTCCCCGCCGTTCCCGAACGCGTCGCTGACGGGCTTAAACCTCCCGGGCGTCACCCACGTCTTCATCGTGAACGCGCACCGTCCGGGGTACGTCCCGACCCCCGCCTCCTCTCGTCGCCGCGACCGCTCCTTTCGCCGCATCTGCGACAGGTGCGGGCTCCCCGGGACGTGCTCCGGCCTCGACGACAGCGACCCCTCCCACGCGAGCGCCACCGCGCGCTCGGTGCTGAACGGCTCGTTCACGAAGTCCCTCGCGGCGACGCGCAGCGCCTCGCGGTAGCCGCCGTCGGCCGCGTCGACGTCGGCGGGGTCGCTCGCGTTGTACGTCGCCTCGGCGCCGCGGAACCCCGCGCTCGGCTCGGACGCGAGATGCGTCATCCCGGTCGGAGCGACGTACACGCCGTCCAAGCGCATGTGCACGTCCCTCTGCGTGATGTACTCGCCGTCCCTGAACGCGACGTCCGCGCGCGTCCACTGCACCGTCTTGAGGTTGTTCCACCGCGAGACGAGCTGGATCACGACGACGCCGCCGCCGCCGTCGTCGTCGTCGTCGTCGTCGTCGTCGTCTCCCTTTCCCGCTCGCCGCTTTCCTCCTCCTCCCTCGCGCGCCTTCGCGCGGCGCATCCCCGGCAGACCGCCCGTGGTGCCGTTCGCGTTGCCGTCCGCGCCGAGCTTTTTTATCAAGCGCCACGTCCCTTTGAACGTGCCCGTGATATCGTTCGGGTAGCGGAGCGTCCCGTCGTCGTTCGTCGGGAGCGGATGCGCGGCGGGGAGCGCGGCGGGGAGCGCGGCGGGGAGCGCGGCCGCCGACGCGTTCGACGCGCTCGCGGGGGCGTCGGCGTCGGCGTCGGCGACCGCGACCGCGTCGGACCCGAGCGCGGCGACGCGCGGCGAGGAGGAGGACGACGACGACGACGACGCGTCGAGGGCGACGAGATCCGCGGGGTCGTCGTCCGATCGAAGAAGCGCCCTCGCCGTCCGGACCCGCGGCGCGGACGACGACGCCGGCGCCGGGTCTCTCTCCGGGGCTCGCGTCCGCGCGCCTCCTAACAACAGCGCGCACGTCGTCAGCGCGAGGAGGACGAAGCACGCGCGCGGCCGGGGCGGCCGCGGCCGCGGCCCCGCCCCTCCTCGTGCGCGCGTCATGTGCGTCCAGCCAGACGCGGACGCTCGAGCGAGTGACGAAGGAAAAAAAAACACGGCGTCAGTCAGATCAGCGTCGTCCCTCCCCCTCGTCCAGACTTTCCGCGCGCGCGACGCAGCACCAGGCAGGGACCGCAAACCCGCGACGATCGAAGGATGGGCAAGGGGTACAAAGGCAAGGGCGGCGGCCGAGGCGGCGGCCGAGGCGGCGGCGGCGGCGGCGACGAGCCGAAGATCGGCGGCAAGTGGCGCGCGTCCAAGGCTGACGATTCCGACTCGTCCGAGGAGGACGACTCCGAGGACGAGGTCGAGCGCGAGAAGCCCGCGAGCAGAGAGCGCGGCGTTCCCGGGGAGCTCCCGCCGAACAGCTCGGACGAGGACGACGACGGCGACGACGCGTCCGGCTCCGAGAGCGAGAGCGACGACGACGACGACGACGACCCGCTCCTGAACCCGCATCGCGCGCCGCGGGCGCCGAGGAAGAAGGAGGAGGACGACGTCCCGGAGAAGTCCGCGAAGGAGCTCGCGGCGGAGATGGAGAAGCTGAAGATCGTCCGCGAGAGGCGCGCGAAGGAGGCCGCGGAGAGGATCGCGAAGGAGGGGTACGATCGGTTCCTGCCCCCGGGCGCGCCGGGCGGGCCCCCGCTCAAGGAGTAGACGCTCCACGACCGTCGGCGAGACGCGGAGGGCGACGCGACGGACGAGGCGAGCGACGCGACGAGATCGATGCGTGGATGAAGATTTTTGACGCGGGAGGAAAACGGGAGACGACCTCCGCGTAGTGTCTTAGTGTCGCACTCGTCACGACGCGATACGCTACACCCCTCCTCCTCCTCCTCGTCCTCCTCCTCCTCGCGCATCGCATCGCATCCTCACGCGGCCTGAGAGGTCTTAAAGTCCTCGTTCTCTCTCTTGGCGTCCTCCCTCAACATGCTCTCGATGAAAAATTCCCCAGCCTTGTACGAACTCCGCACGAGCGGCCCCGACGCGACGTATCGAAACCCGACCACCTCCTCGCCGTATTTCTTCCACGTCTCGAACTTCTCAGGCGTGACGTACGCCTTCACCGGGAGATGCTTCTCCGTGGGGCGCAAGTACTGCCCCAACGTGAAGATGTCCACGCCCGCGTCCTTGCAGTCGCGCATGACGCGCTCGATCTCTTCATCCGTCTCGCCCAAGCCGAGCATGACGGAGGTTTTGGTCGTGAGGCCCGGCTTCGCGACCTTCGCTTCTCTCAACACGTTCAACGACTGCTCGTACCCCGCGCGCGGGTCCCTGACGCGCTTCTGAAGGCGCTCCACGGTCTCGACGTTGTGCGCGAAGACGTCTAAGCCGCTTCGCGCGAGGTGCGACACCGCCGCCGCGTCGCCGCGGAAATCCGGGACGAGGCACTCGCACAAAATGTCCGGCCGCAACGCCTTCAGCGTCCGCACCGTCCGCGCGAAGTGCTCGCTGCCGCCGTCCTCGATGTCGTCCCTGTCCACGGACGTCAACACGATGTACCCCACGCCCCACTCCGCGATCGCCTTCGCGGTGTTCTCCGGCTCGTCCGGGTCCGGCGGCGGCGGCGTCGACGCTGCGGGCCATTCCATACACAGTTCACCGGTCAGTTGAAAGAAGACGCGATCAAATGTTGAAACCGAGCTATGGGTGAAAAACTTTTGTATAGAACGCACCTGTGTTCACCGCGCAGAACCTGCACCCTCTGGTGCACGTGTCGCCGAGGATCATGATCGTCGCCGTGCCGGTGTCGCCGTTCCAGCACTCGCCGAGGTTCGGGCACATCGCTTCCTCGCACACGGTGGCGAGTTTTAAGCCGCGGAGGCCCTCGGAGAGGTACTCGAACCGCTCGCCGCCGGGCGCGCGTTGACGCAGCCACGGCGGTTTCGTCAACCCGGGGGGGAGCCCCGGGATGGACGACTCAGCGCCCTCCTCCGCCTCGACGTCAAAAGAAGCGGCCCCCGCGCCCGTCGGGCCGCACATCGCCGCGGCGAGGGGGGAGATGGGCGCCGCTTGGGAGATCGGGGGCGGGATGTCCACGCCGCCTTCCTTCGCGAGCGCGACGAGCTCCGCGAACGCGTCCACGCTCTCGAGGCGTCTCAGGGTCGTTCCATACGAAGCGACGTCGGGGTGGAGTTGAAAGGCGTCAGGTGGAGTTGAAAGGCGTCGAGGGCGGGGATTAAAAGCGAGGGGTGGGCGGAGAGATACGCCGGGAAAAGTCCTTAAGGATCGGCGTTCACCACGCCGACGCGGTCGTATGGGGACCAGTGTATAGAACGCGCCTCAGCTCATCGGCTTCCTCCGCCGCGCCGCCGCCGCCGCCGCTGAGATCGTCGTCGGTCGCGCCATCTCGGGACGGTCCTCGAAGCGCGTCCGTCAACGTCCCGCCGCTCGCCATCTCGAGGACGATGTCGCACCCGCCCACGAGCTCGCCGTTCGCGTACAGCTGCGGGTACGTCGGCCAGTCGCTGTACTCCTTTAGGCCCTCTCTGATCTCGGGGCTGGATAAAATATCGAACGTCGAGTACGCCACCCCGGTCTCGTTCACCGCGGCGACGACCTTCGCGCTGAACCCGCACCTCGGCGCGTCGCGGTCGCCCTTCATGAACAGCACCACGGGAGACTGCGTCGTGAGGCGTTTCAAGCGCGTCTCGAGCGTTTCACCCGCGGGGGAATCGTCGAAGACGGAGACGGCGGCCGCCTTCGGCGCTTCTTCCGTGAGTTTTTGTTTCTCCCTCTCGAGGGTAACATCCGCCTCGCTCGGGTGGCGTTCCGCGTACGACGCCATCATCTCCTTGATCCGGTTCGCTCTCGACGCGTCGAGTCGCGTCGGCGCGCCGTCGTCGTCGTCGCCGTCGTCGTCCAGGGACAGGGACGCGACCGAGGCGCCGTGCGCGCGACGGCGACGCGGCGCGAGCGCGCGTCCGCCGAGGAGAACCCTCGCCCTATCCGACTCCGCGGCGAACGATTTCGCAGCCGCGGCGGCGTCGGTCGCGCGGCGCGTCGGCGCCGCGCGCGCGGCGACGATCGCGGGGCTCGCGGCCGCGGTGGCGCGCATGACGAGCGTTGGCGTCGCGCGCCTGGTTTACGCGCGGTCGCCGCTCGCGGAGGTGTGAGGAGAGGAGTCGAGCGGACGCGATGCCAATTTTTTGTGACGCGGCGCGGCTGGGCCGCCGCCGAGCTTCCACGTCGAATGAATGAATCCTTCTGTTCGTCGCACCGGCGCGCACTCCAAGGCGCGCGCTGACGAACGCGCGCGCACGATCCGCGCGACCGCGCTCGCGTCCCGCCGTCGTCGTCGCGTCCACGCCGCGAGCGTCCACGCCGCGCGAGACTCGCGTCGTCGTCGCCGGGTGCGCGTCGATCCTCCCTCCCTCTCTTCCGTCCCGGTGCCGTGTTCTTCGCGCGGCGTCTGGTCGATCCGACCGCGCGCCCCGCTCGAGGCTCTCTCCCCGCGCGCGCGACGTCGTGATGATACCAAACTCCGAACACGCCAGTTCTGCTTCTGATCACCGAAAGGTCGCGGTGACGTTACCCTGGAAGTACTCTGAACGTCGCGCGGAGAGAGCCTCGAAGCGCGCTCCCCGCTGCCCCCTCGCCCGCGGATCGACCGATCCGTCAGATTCAGTCGACGTCGCGCGTCGCCGACGACGTCCTGACGTCCCTCCGTCCGTCTCTCCCTCCGGTTCCCTCCGCAGACGCCGATCCTCGCCGGCCATCATGACGACGCCGATCGTCGCCGGCTTCTCCATCGCCGCCGCCGCGCTGACCGCGCGACAGGCGATCCTCGCGTACGAGGCGTGGAAGCGCGCGCCGCCCGCGATGCGCGCGTTTTACCAAGGCGGATTCGAGCCGCAGATGACGCGACGGGAGGCGGCGCTCATCCTGGGCGTCAGGCGCGTCCTACGTCACACTGGTTCCCATACGACCGCGTTCGCGTTGTGAACTTCATTTCTTAAGGACTTTCGACGCCTCGCGACTCCGTCTGACAGCTGTACGACGCCGCCCCGACTTTTTTGTCGCCTCGCGCGGACCGACCCTCCGTCGACCCTCAGGGAGAGCGCCGCGAAGGCGAAGGTGCTCGCCGCGCACAGGAAGGTCATGATCGCGAATCATCCGGACGCGGGGGGGTCGGACTACGTCGCGACGAAGATCAACGAGGCGAAGGGGTTGCTGTTGGGGGGACGGGGGGGGAGGGACCGGCCGCTGTGATGTGACGAGTTCGGTTCGTCCGTCTGTCGACGCGCCGTCGAAGCTATAAGTCGCTATTAGAACTATAAGATACCTCGTCTATCTTCGTCGTCGTCGTCCGACGAGCTACTAGCTAGCTAGAACGCTAGGATCTTCCTCGTCTTCAAGACGCGGCGGCACGTCAGCGACACCCTCGCGCGCTCTCGCGGGATGACCAAGGGGCCGTCCGCGCCGCCGCCGCCGCCGACCGCCTTCGCGGCGGCGTCTCGGTTGGCGACGCTCTCGTCGACGACGTCCTCCGCGACGTCCTCTATCCCGTGAAGATACTCCGTGTACGCGGCGCCGGTGAACACGAGCAGCGACCTCGGCGGCAGCCACACCCCGAACGCCGCGGCGGCGTCGCTCGCGCGCCCGCCGCCGCCGTCCGCGGCGTCGGCGTCGGCGTCGTCGCGTCGTCTCGGCGTGAATCGCATCGTCGCGGACGCTCCCAGCGACACGATCGCGACCGCGGGGTCGTACAGCGGTCCGTCCTCGTGCGGCATGATCCCGCGCCCGGGCTCGTACGCGTTCACGAGGACGTGGTTGAGGTCTTCTCTGACTAACCCCCCCGCCGCGCGCGTCACGTCGCCGAGGACGCGTGAGGGTCGTTCCATACGAGCGAACGTCGGGGTGGAGTTGAAAGGCGTCAGGGGGAGTTGAAAGGCGCCGAGGGCGGGGATTGAAAGCGAGGGGTGGGCGGAGAGATGCGCCGGGGAAAGTCCTTAAGGATCGGCGTTCACCACGCGGATGGGGTCGTATGGGGACCAGTGTATAGAACGCATCTAAAAGCCATTCCGGGATCTTCTCCGCGATCATGCCGTGTTTCGTCGCGGTGGGTCTCCCGCCGAACTGCAGCACGCGGCGGTCGCTCACGGTGGTCCACCTCGTCTTGGGCTCGTTGTCCACGCGCGAGAGGAGGTAGGACTCCTCCGCGGCGGTGTCGAAGTCGTAGAGGAGGTAGACGCCGGGGACGGGCGCGCGCGCGAGCGCGTGCGCGTCCATGCCCCGCGCGAGCCCGGATCTGGGCGAGTTTCGACTTCCGAGCTCCGACACGAGAACGGCCTCCGTGAGTCCGTACGCGTACTCTCGCGTCGTACTCTGACTAAGAACACTGTGCGACCGCGCGAAGATCTCCGAAAAGATCGAACGCGAAACTCTGATTGGCGTTCGCCTGCCGTTCATCCGAGAGCGGGTAAAAGGGAAAAGGCGATCGCATCCCCGCGCGACACCAGACGCCCCTCGCGCACGCCCCCGCGCCGGCGCACGTCCCGCGAGCACGTCCCCTCCGCCCCCCTCGTAGGCATCGCATCGAACGCGCGCGCAGGTCACGATGGCAACCCCCGTCGGTATCGTGAACTCGCTCCCCGAGAGGAAGGTTCGCGCGAAGAAAAAAGATCAACCGCATGCGTCTAACGCGGACGACGCGCTCGACACGCATCCGCTCTCGGACGACGTCCCGGGCGCGCCGGGAACGCCCGGGCTGGGCAGCGCGCGCGAGCAGGGCAACGACTTGTTCCGCGCGGGGAACTACGCCGGCGCGGTCGCGAAGTACGACGAAGCGATCGCGGCGAACGCGAACGACGCGGCCGCGCTCGCGAACCGCGCGGAGTGCTACCTGCGATGCCGGCAGTTTCACCTCGCGCTCGCCGACGCGACGCGCGCGTACGCCGCGGACGCGAACCACGTCAAGGCTCTGTACAAGCGCGCGATGGCGCTGAACGGCATGGGACGCTACGCGGAGGCGATCAAGACGCTGAAGACGCTCGCGGAGCTCGCGCCCGAGGACGACGCCGCGGCGCACGCGCTCATGGAGTGCGAGCACCTGCAGGCGCAAGCCTTCACGGGGACGTTCGAGGTTCCGGCGTTGCTGTTCGGGAGACAAGCGACGTCGTTCCGTCGCTGCGCGGACTACGTCGGCCCGATCAAGATCGCGCGCGGGGGCGCCGTCGCGCACGGCCGCGGGCTCGTGACGACGCGCGACGTGGTCGCGGGCGAGCTCCTGTGCGTCTCCTCGCCGCTCGCGGTGGCGCCGTTGGCGACGGGCGGCGGAGCGGAAATGGGGCTCATCCGCGGCCTCGTGGGCGCGGCGTCTCGAAACCCGGAGGACCTGCGCCTCATTCTCGCGCTGCCCGCGAGCGCGAAGGACGACCCGGCGACCGCGCCGGTGCCGGACATGTCTCTGTTCCGCAGGCACCTGCGCCGCGGCGACGAGGTGGAGGCGAACTCGGAGGTTCCGAGCCAGGAGCTCTTCGCGACGCATTCGAAAAACGTCGTGACGACGTCGGCGATTCGAAACGAAAAGTCCGTCGGCGTGTACCCGCTGATGTCTTTCGCGAACCACTCGTGCGCGCCGAACGCGTGCAAGCTTCTGATCGGGCACACGATGTTCACGCGCGCGGCGCGGGATCTGGTCGCGGGCGAGGAGGTGTGCGTGAAGTATTTCGACGTGACGGCGCCAAAGTCGGAGCGAAACGCGGTCGCGAAGCGGTGGGGGTTCGAGTGCGCGTGCGCGCGGTGCGGGATGGAAGCCATCGGCGAGGTGAGCGCGAACCGCGCGACGAAGGCGGCGGCGAAGGCGGCGGCGTCCGCGCGAGAGACCGCGAAGAAGGACCCGAAGAACAAGAAGACGGGAGGCGACCGGGACGGCGACCGCGCCGCCGCGATCGCCGCGGCGGCGGCGATGGAAAAGATCGAGGTAAAGGACGTCGCGTCGCTCATCGCGGTCTGCCGCGCCAAGTCCAAGGCGCTGCACGACGACATCGCGCGCGCGCTCGCGGAGTGGAAGCGCACGAAGGGAAAGTCCCCCGCGCCGGACCCGAACCAGCTCGTCGAGCTCGCGACGTGGTTCGAGACGGCGTGCGACGGCATGGGGCTGTCGCCGACGCGGGCGGCGTGGGCGAGAGGGTCCGTGCTGCAGCTGTACGCGAACATCGGGCACTGCTTCACCGCGTCCGGGCAGCTCGAGGCGAGGGCGGAGCTGCTGGATAAGGTGTCGGACACGATCGCGCTCTTAGACCCGGGGTCGTTCGAGCACTGCAAGCAAGTCGCGGCGGCGGTCGGGAACGCGCGGAGGGCCTTCGGAGGGCCGGACGCGAAGAGACTGGTGGACGCCGCCGAGGCGAAAGCCGCGGCGGTGCACGCGATACGGTACGGTTGCGGCGGTACAGCGAGCGAGGAGGACGTCGCCGTCGCGCTCGAGCTCGTGAAGCGGACGGAGCACAGCAACGAGGAGAGCCAAGGCGAGTTTTGCGAAGCGTAGAAGGAGACGTGATGAGTGTGAGATGTGACGACGCGCGATCGAAGGACGTCTGAGTGATATTCAGAAGAAGAGTGAACATTTCGATTCCAAAAAAACTCATGTCAGCTGCGACGGTCGCGGTCCCTCCCTCCATCGCATCGCATCACGCGAGCGCGATGAGCGCGCCTTGGAGCTCCGTGAGCATCCCCGGAAGCTCGCCGATCCTGAGCGCGTTCGCGTCCGTGACGTGCACGAACCGTCCTTTACTCTCCTTCTCCACGCCCCCGACGTCGGACGGCGTCCCGAGGCACACCGCCGCCATCGCGCGTTTGTACTCGCCGAGCACGTTCGCCATCTCTCCCAACCGCAGGTCTTCAAAGTCGCACGACGCCAAGAACTCTCTGTTGCCGTCCGCCCCGAGGTCAGGGTACGCGCCGCTCGATTCCGAGTCCAGCGCCGCCTGGCGCTCGATGGATGCCAGGACGTCGGCGAGGAGGTCGCGCGGCGCGCGCGGCGACGCCGGCGGCGCCGCCGCCGCGAGCGTTCGCGGCGGCGGCTGCGGCGTCTTCGGACCCGCGCCGAACGCGCTGCCCAACGCGTTGCGCAGGCCCCCGCCCGGGCTCGCGCCGGTCACCTTCGGGAGCCCCAGACCGGAGGCGAAGCCGTCGAAGAACCCGCCCTTCCCGGAGCGTTCGCTCCCCGGCGAGCCGCCGTAGACGGAGCCGAAGAGATGTATCCCGCCGCCGCCGCCGCCGCCGCCGCCTCGGCTCGGCGCGTCCACCGGCGTCGCCGCGCGCGCGGGGGTCCCGGTCCCGGTCCCGGTCCCGGTCCCAGTCCCGACGCCGCCAGGGGACCCTTTCGCGTCGTCCTCTTCCCCGATGTGCAGCCACCACGCGTCGTTCATCGCTCTCTCGCCATCGAACCCTCCGAGCATGAGCAACGCGTCGTTCACCTTCGTGAGCGTGTGAAACGCCCTCGGCGCGGGCGTTTCGGTCGACGACGATTCCAACGACGCCGACAGCTTCCGCCACCGTCCCGTCTCCCTATCGATGACCGTGACGTCGTCGTAGTACACGGAGCGCTTACTTATCCACCCGTCGTCGCCGTGACCGCCGTGAAGGACGACGCGCGAGCCGTGCGACGTGAACGCGTGGCCCGCTCGCGGCGACGGCGCGACGCCCCTCAACTGCAACCGCGTCCACCGTGGCGGCGCCTTCGAAGGTCCCGGTCGCTCCCGCCGCTCCCCCGCCCCCTCGATCACCCCCGCGCTTGATTCCTCCGCGTTCTCGTCGTCTAGGACGCCTCGGAGCGCCCACAGATCCCCGCGCAACGTCCCGCCGCTCGCTTGCCCGCCGAACACGAGCAACCTCCTCTCCACGGCGGCCATCGCGTGCCCGCTCCTCGGCGTCGGCGCGATGTTATTCGCGACCGAGACCACCCTCCACGTGGCGGATTCTCCTCCTCCTTCTCCTATATTCTCTAACACGTGGCAGTCGTTCAGCCACTTGTGCCCGTCGTACCCGCCGAAGAGGAGGATCCCGCCGGAGGGCGTCGCGGCGGCGACGCCGAAATCCCGCGGCGACGGCGCCGCGCCCGTTGGACGCAGCCGCCGCCAGCACCAACTGACGCAGTCCAGACACCACACGTCCCCGTGCTGCTGCCGCCCCGTGCGTCCGCACATCACGTAGAGCCGCGAGCCGATCGCGACCGCGCAGTGGAACGCGCGAGGGCCGGGCCCGCCGACCGCGGACGAAGGCGGGCGGCGCCATTGGTTGCGCTCGAGGTGCAGCGCGACGGTGTCGCCGATGGCGGTCTTGACGTTCAGGCCGCCGAAGACGACGAGGTGGGACGTCCCGACGAGCGTCGCGGAGTGGCCGGAGCGCGGGGACGGCGGCGGCTGCGGCGAGGGAGGAGGAGGGTGGGGATGGGGGGTGGGGGGGATGAGACGCCGCGAACGCGACGCGACGGGACGCGAGGAGAAGACGAGACGACAACGGCACGGACGGCACCGAGGCGGGATCGACGCGGCGCGTCCGTCGCGGTCGCGGTCGCGCGCCGCGCCGAGCGCGCGACGAGGGACGGAGGCGTCGTTTAGAGCGCGCACCTCGCCGCCGGTCGCGACGCAGCGCGTCCATTTCATGACGCGCGTCCCGCCTCCGCGGCCTGGCGCGCGCGGAAGAGTAGTTGTAGTCGTTGTTGACGCCGAGATTCCGCGCTCGGATCGGCGTTTCCGATGACCCACTTCTGCTGACTGCTGACTGCTGACAGGCTGCCTTCTGCTGACTGCTGACTGCGCTGATCGCTCGGCGCCCGAGCCGAGCCTCCTTTTGGGTTGCCTCCCCGCGGCGGCCTGATCAGAGCGAGACGCGCGCGCGGGCACGAGGAGAGACCTGCCGCCATGGAGATCTATTACATGTACACGAAGCTCCGCAACGAGTTCGGGCGGGACGCGCAGTTCGACGACTCCGCGAGCGAGGTGCGCCGCGCGCCTCCCCGCCGCGCGCAATTCCTCCCCGGTCAATCAACACGCCCTCGCGCCAGAGTGCGTTCGTTCAAACCGCCGTCTCACCCGTTCCCGTCCCCGTCCCCCGCCCCCGGCTCTCGTTCAGGTCATCTCCGACATCCGCCCGGAGCCGGAGCTGCAGGAGGACTACATCGAGCGCAACCCGGTCACGACGACGGTGCAGTGCGTCCCGGAGCAGTCCGAGCACGAGGCGCGTCCGCGCGCCACCCATCCTTCAACGGAATCCGTCGACGATATTATTTTTTAGGGCGGGCGGAGCGGAGCGCCCCTCTCGCCCGCCGTCCCCGTCCACGCCGCTGACGCCGTCCCCGTCCCCGCGCCCGTCGTCGCTCCGCTCTCTGCGCGTCAATCAATCGACAGGCGAACACGCAGCAGATCATATACACGAACCGCGGGTTCGCGCACAAGGAGGGCGGGTGGCCGAAAGAGGTGGACTGCACGGAGATGGAGCACGTGATTCGATTCCGCAAAAAGATTGAAAAAGACGAGGACTACATCAAGACGATCGCGTCCCGCGCCGGCGAGGTCGAGGAGCTGATCAAACAAAACAACGCGATCGACATCTACGAGGAGTACTTCGCCGGCGACGCCGCGGACCACAGCAGCGAGCAGCCGTACGCGAAGACGTTGACGGTGTTTCGAGACCCGTCCGCGATCAAGCGAAGCGCGTCGTACATCAGCTGGAACCCCGACGTCAACAACCGGAAGTGCGCCATCGCGTACTCGATCTTAGGGTTCCAAGCGCAGCCGGAGGGGATGAGCAAGAGCTCGTACATATGGGACGTGAACACGCCGAACAAGCCCGACTTTGAGCTGCGAGGGCCGAGCCAGCTGTGCTGCGTGAATTACAATCCGAAGGACACCAACGTGCTCTCGTGCGGAATGTACAACGGACAGGTGGGGTACTTTGACGTCCGCAAAGGGCACACCCCCGTGGACACGAGCCCGATCGAGAAGTCGCACCGGGACCCGGTGTACGACATGGCGTGGCTGCAGAGCAAGACGGGCACGGAGACGTTCTCCGTCTCCACGGACGGGTACGTGTACTGGTGGGACACGCGTCGGCTGGGCGAGCCCGTGGAGGAGCTGCAACTGAAGGAGAAAAACGGGGACACCATCTTGGGCGCGGTGTCGCTGGAGTACGAGTCCATCGCGGGGCCGACGAAGTTTATGATCGGCACGGAGCAAGGGACGGTGCTTATGTGCAACAGGAAGGCGAAGAACCCGCAAGACCGCGTCGGCACGGCGTATCACGGCCACCACGGCCCGGTGTACTCGTTGGAGAGGAACCCGTTTTTCCCCAAGTACTTCATGTCCATCGGGGACTGGGCCGCGCGGGTGTGGATGGAGGATCTGAAGACGCCGATCATGACGAGCCGGTATCACGCGAGCTACCTCACCGGCGGGACGTGGTCGCCGACGCGGCCGGGCGTGTTCTTCGCGATCAAGATGGACGGCGAGCTCGACGTGTGGGATTACTACTACAAACAAAACGACCCGACGCTGAGCGTCAAGGTCACGGATCAGCCGCTGACGTCGTTCAACATTCAGGACACCGGGAGGCTCGTCACCGTCGGCGCGAGCGACGGCAGCGCGACGCTCTTGGAGCTGTGCGAAGGGCTCGCGACGATGCAGCCGAACGAGAAGCAGAGCATCTCGCAGATGTTTGACCGCGAGACGAAGCGCGAGAAGAATTTGGAGGCGCGCGCGAAGGAGTTGCGAAACGCGGCGAAGCGGGCGAACCGAGGGAACGAGGAGTACGAGGGCCCGGACGATCACGAGATGGAGGTTTTGGAGAAGGAGTTCCTCGCCGCGACGGTGAAGAGCGGGGTGACGTTCGACGAGGTGTCGCCGCTGGACGCGCCGACGCGAGATTGAGCGTAGGTAGACTCGACGCGGGATCGATTCGAATCGTTTCGATTCGATCGCGACGACGACGTCTTCGCGGAGGGCGGGGGGGTCACATCATAGCACGTAGCGAGGGGAGGCGAACACGGGGCGGTATCCCAGTCGAGGAGCGGCGACAGGACTGATGTAATCGTGAACGTTCGTTTCAGTTTCACCTTTGACGACGAACAGAACGCGCGGCGACGCGACGCGTCTCCTCTCTTCATCCGTCGCGCGGCATCGCGTCTCAGGGTCGTTCTATACAAGCGAATGTCGGGGTGGAGTTGAAAGGCGTCAGTTGGAGTTGAAAGGCGCCGAGGGCGGGGATTCAAAGCGAGGGGCGGGCGGAGAGATACGACGGGAAAAGTCCTTAAGGATCGGCGTTCACAACGCCGACGCGGTCGTATGGGGACCAGTGTATAGAACGCACCTCATCTCGATCTCGAGGCCTCGTCGTCACACGAAGCCGGACCCCTTGCACGTCTTGCACAGGATCATCCCCGCGCCTTTGCAAGCGGTGCACTCGAACGGGTTCCTCCGCGTCAGCCCTAACACGCTGTCGTCGTTGATATCCCGCTTCGTGATCTTCACCGGCGCCTCGCGTCTTCCCGTGGCGTCGCAAAAGATGCAGTCCTCGCCCCCCCTCTGCGCGCACGACGGGCACGGCTCCGGCTCGCCCTTCAGGCCGAGGACGACGGCGAAGCCGCCGACGAGGAGCCCCGTGCCCGCGACGCTCAGGAGCTGCGCGGCCTCGAGCTCGTCGTTCGACGGCAGCGCCGCGGTCGTCGTCGTCGTCGTCGACGACCGTCCTCCGCGACGACGCCGCGCGACAGCGAGAGTCGCGCGAGCGGGAGTCGTCGCGCTCGTCGACGCCGACGAGGCGACGCCGCGGCAGCGGCAGCGGGACCACGTCGGCGTCGGCGTCGGCGTCGGCGTCGGCGTCGGCATCTCCGCCCGAGGTCGTCTCGCGCGCGTCTATCCTCCCTCGAGCGCGCGTCGACGTCTGAGCGCCCTTCCCCCCGGTGTCGCTGTCGTCGCGCCAAGTGTCCTATCTGCTCGACACGTCGACATTCTCGGGACGGCACACCGACGCGCGCCGTCGCCGCCGCGTGACCGTCGAGCGCGCGCGTTCGGACGCGCCGCGCCGCGCGCGTCGAGAAGGCAGCATGTCCGCGTCGCGAGCGCTCGCGCGCGGCGCCGCGCCCGCGTCCGCGTCCGCGTCGCTCTCGCGCGCGGCGTCGCGCGGCGTCGCTCGATCGACGACTGGGCACCGCCGACGCGGCGGTCCGATCTCGCGATCGTCGCCGTACTCGACGCGACGGACGAGCGTCTCGACTTGGACTCGACGCCGCGGCGACTCGACGCGCGTCCGCGGCCTCAAGGAAGAGCGCGCGGCGCTGAAGAAGAAGCTCGTCGACGCGGGGTTCCTCGGCGACGGCCCCACCGGCGCCGGCTCGTCGTCGTCGTCGTCGTCGTCGTCGTCCAGATCGACCCCGACGCCGTATCGCCCCTCCCCGAGAACGCAGACCGGGAACGACGTCCGCGACGACGAGTACGACCCGAGCGCGTGGCGCGTCTTCGACCTGGACACCGTCCGAGCGCGGTGGGACGTCCCGTGGGGGGCGTGGCGCGTCTTCGGCGGGCTCGTAGGTTGGGGCGCGTCCTTCGTCTTCACCGCGGCGGTGATCTTTCCGGTGCTCCTCGTGAGCAACGGCGTGGACCCGAGGGCGTTCGACGCGTCGGAGAAGGCGGAGTACCTGCTCGCGGTGCAGGCGACGGAGACGGCGATCACGTTCGGGGTGTTGTGGCTGTTGCTCCGGAAGTTCGCGCCGTTCCCCGAGGACGCGGCGGTTTCGGCGGAGGAGGAGGTGGGCGGCGGCGGCGGCGGCGGCGCGAACGCAAACGCGAACGCGAACGCGACGCGCGCGACGACGAGCAAGTGGTTCAACGTCGACCCGTTCGACGACCCGTTCAGTATCGAGAAAGGCTGGCTGACGTGGGGGTGCGTCGGGTACGTCGTGACCTTCTTCGCGATCGGCGCGACCGCGTTTGTCGTCGACGGCGGGACGGCGGCGTTGCACGCGGCGGAAGCCGCGAGGACGGCGTCGGACGCGACGCGCGCGGGGGTTTCCGACGCTTTCAGCGCCGGGTACGGCGATGGCGTCGCGTCGCAGCTCGGCGAATTCGGCGGCGGCGGCGGCGCGGTGCCCTCGGGGGTGCCCTCGGGGGTGCCCTCGGGGGTGCCCTCGATGCCCTCGCCCGCCGCCGCGGAGTCGGAGACCAGCAGAGGAACGATCGATGCGGTGCTTCCCATCCTCGGCGGCGGCGACGACCTCCCGATTCGATTCCTCTCCATCCTCGCCGTCACGTCCGTGTTCGCGCCCGCGCTCGAGGAGGTCGTCTTCAGAGGATTCCTCCTCGCGTCGTTGACGAAGTGGCTTCCCACCCCGGGCGCGGTGTTGTTCAGCTCTGTGATTTTCGCGGGCGCGCACTTCGCGCCGAGGGATTTTTCGCAGCTCGTCGCGCTCGGGATGGTGTGCGGGTTTAGTTACGCGCGGACGCGGAATTTGCTGACGCCGATGATGATCCACTCGCTGTGGAACTCCGGGGTTTTGGTCATCGTCGCCGCGCTCGTGAGCACGGGGAACGCGGACTTGATACCGGGGGCGGGTAATACCCTCGGACAGTGAGGAGCGAGGCGAGACGAGAGGATGCGCTTCCGGAAGTACCGCGCGGCGCGCTGCGTCGAAGGAAAAAAAGACTGGACGCAGCGAGGCGAGACGCGTGTGTATGTAGTAAACTTTGGCAGAAGTTTATATTGAATAGGGCTCAAACTATTCGTGAGTCTATAAGTGTGTTTGAATTCTCTCTTGTTCGTGGTACTGGACGTAGCAAGCGCGCTCATCCGCGCGAGGTTTCCCCCGCGCGAATCGGAGCTACCAAATGACTCCCGTTGCTTGCGCCGCCAACCCGCCTTGTTACGGGGACGGCATGTGCGTTGCAGCGAGGCCTTGGTGATAGCTTAAACATCATCTTGTTAAAGCGAGGCTTTCCATATACACTGTTGACTTACATCGTAGCAGAAGTGAAACCGCTTCAATACATCGTCCTTCGTCTACGTCTCCATCCTACGCGTTCGTCTCGTCGCTGTGTGTACAGACGACGAAAACGAACGCTTAGAAGAGACGGAACGGAGGGCCCATGGTGGACTTGATGTACAGCGACTTGACGTTCTGCCAGTTCTTCTTCAGGAGCGACACGAGGAAGTTCACGGACGTCTGCACGTTGACAAAGATCTCGCGCTCCGTCTGCTCCACGTTTGCCACGGCGACGGCGAGGCACAGCACCTTCTTGAGCTGAAACTTCACCTGCGAGCGGATGCCGTTAACCTTGGCTTCGAGGGACTCGTTGTGCGTGCACAGCGTCGGGAACTTCCCCGCCTTGTTCAGGCCGGGACCGAGAAGACGCGGGATCTGCTTGATGACGGACTCGGACGCGAGGAAGTGGTTGTACTTCTTCGCGAGCTTCTTGATGAGCTTCTTGTTTTTGTTCAGCTTCTTGAGCGCCTCGACGTCCATGTGGTCGATGCCGACGCCGACGGCTTCCTCGCAGTGCTTCGCGTCGCCGAGCATGCAGAGCTTGAGCTTCGGGCGCGGGATCGTCGGGAGCGACACCGTGCCGTTGAAGCGCTTGTCCTTCTGCGGGTCGTAGTTCTTCAGGCCGATCTGGAGTTCGATCGTCTCCGTGAATTTGCGCGGCTTCGCCTTGCTCTTCTCGAGCACGAAGGAGACGCCATCGCGGAGGGTATCGGAGGGGAGCTTGCTGCGATTCGTAAAGAGAGAGGGTGGGAGTGAACGTGAGTTCTCTGAGGGAGAGAGCGACGTCGACGGCGGGAGGAGGGCGCGACGCCGGCGCGGGAACGGGACGGATGGTTTTCGCCGGCGCGTAACCCTAGCGCGAAAAATCACGCGCGAACGCGCCGGGAAACCGGCGACGCGACGCGCGCGGACGCGCATCGCGCGTCCACGCGCGAGGAAGACGCCCGGAGAAGGAAGCGATGCGGGAGAACTCACCTCATCTTGTACTGCCGGACAAGAGAGAACACACGTAAGAGGGGGAGCGGCCACCGCCGTCGCGGCTTATGTGCATTATTTCGCGCTCGGGTTTTCGCTGGAAGGGCCCGTAACCTTAAAAACATTCCTCGGTCAGTTGAAAGGGGACGCGATCAAGTGTTGAAACTGATGGACGGGTGAAAAATTTTACTTCCACCGCACGCGTAGCAGTCCACAGCGCGCGACGATGGCGACGCGCGCGCTCGCGGCCGCGACGACCGCGTCCGTCGCGAGGGGCGGCGCGCCCTCCTCGAGCGCGCCCGCGGCTCGCCGCCGACGCGACCGCGTCGTCCGCGCGGAGGGCGAGCGGAGGGCCTCCGTCGCGGCGCGCGCGTGGGGCCCGAGGCCGCGACGAGGAGGAGGAGGAGGAGGAGGAGGATGGACGACGACGACGACGCCGAAGTCCTTAAGGAACGGCGTTCACCACGCGAACGCGGTCGTATGGGAACCAGTCACGACGACGACGCGCCGCCGCGCGACGCCGGAGGACGACGCGCGCGCGGGCGCGAGCGCCGCCGCGGCGTCGTCGTGCGCGGCGGTGTGCTGCGAGGGGGGGGGTGGTG